AAAAAAAAAGAAGCTTGGATTCAAATCAAAGCTTTGCCTCTAGTACTACTGGGTCACTTCAGGCAAGTGAAGTAACCCCTCTGGCCTCAGTCTCATTATCTGTAAAATGGGGGTAATGGTGCCAACCTCATGGGACAAACTTGGGGTAGACTTGATACACATAATTATTGTCATAATGATTATGTAGAGGGAGGAGCCACAGTAATCAGCCACAGGCAGGAAGAAATACTTGAGGGAAAAAGGAGGGCATGACAAATTCCCATCCTGCTCGGATTCACCAACTTCTAGTCCAAAGGAGTATCACTGTTCATTTCCATCAGCTGGTACAACCTCAGGCAAATCATTTCCCAGCTCTCTGTTTTGGTTCCACTAAAAAGCTATGAAATGTAGCAGCATTCACAATAGGTACATAGAATCAACCCAGGTGTCTATCAATGAATAAATGGATGAAAGAAAATGTGGTACATACACACAGAATACTATTTAGTCATAAAAAATGAAATCTTGTAATCTGTGGTAATATGGACATGATAAAGTTAACTGAAATAAGCCAGGCACAGAAACACAAATACTGCCCAATATCATAAGGATGTGGAATCTAAAAAAACTGAGTTCATAGAAGCAGATAGTAGAATAGTGGTTACCAGAAGCTGGAGAGGGTAGGGGAGAAGGAGTGATGGGCAGAGATTGGTTAACAGGTACCAAGCCACAGCCACAGAAGAGAAATATGTTCTGGTATTTTGCTACACAGAAGGGTAATTATAGTCAACAACATTATATAATTCAAAATAGCTGCAAGAGAGGATTTTGAATTTCTCATCACAAAGCCATAAATATGGGAGATAATGAATAACAAATTAAATATCCTGAATTGGTCAACACATGATATATAAATGTCTCAACACATCACACTGCACCTCATAAAGATGTACCATTATTATGTGTCAATTAAAAAAAAAGGCAGGGAGCAATTACTCTTACCCAATAGAAGAGTGGAACTCAAATTTCATCCCCTATCATATGCCATGATGTATTGAGAAACGTGGGAAGGCTTAGATTCTACGGCCTCTTCAAGTCTCAGTCTCTTTGTTCTTTATCATCTTCCCAGACAATCTGATACACACCAAATTTCAAAACTACCATGAAAGAATGAGAGAAACAAGACTCTCTAAGGAGTCATACAATGATTATTATCATTATTTAAATTCCACCTGTTCCCTCCTCTACGGAGCTGTACAAGGGAACAGCGATCCTTACAGAAATTGCACATATGCCTCACCCCAGGGAAGCTAGGCCTGCATCTCAACATGAAAAAAGAGCACCCTGACCAAATCCCTCCAGTCCTTGGGCCCTTTGAAGTCATCTGCAGTTTAGTACCCACTTCACAAAGGGGAAAATGAGGCTCAAGGAGGGACAATGCTCCTCCCAGGCCGTGATAACTTCATGATAAAGTCACAATGAAACCCAAAGTGTGGGTATCTGAGTCAATGCTAGAAGGGCTTAATGTGGATCTCCCACCCTGGGAGAAACCCTCTCACCTCTCACCTTTCACCTGCCCTGTGATGGGACAAGGTGAGGGGTCTTACAGTCTCCTTGCCCTCCAACAAGTTTCCTTTGTTCTAATGAAATGTGGAAAAGTCTGGGTCCATAAGCTCCTTTCCAAAAGGTTTGAAGATTAACTTAAGGTTCTTCTCAACCTGGAGAAGAAAGCAAAAACTAACCCATGTTCAAACATCTCCAGCTCTGAGCAGTCTTATTTCCCTGATCCTGATGCTTGAGCAGGCACAGAAGTCCATCAGTGAGATGAGATCTAAGATTAGAACCAAATTGTGGAATCTCAATTGCAGGTCACAGAACACAGCCTGCTACCCCACAGACCAGGAATAGTGCCACATAATCGGTCCAGACAAGGGAAGAGGGGACCTTTCACAAACCACAGCAAGGGTTTTAGTTGATTCAGGGCAAGGAACTTGAAGGGTGGGGTCAGAAGTGAAACCAAGGGGGGCAGTGTGGTAGTCAAAGCTGCAGACTACAGACATAGAAGGACCTTGTGGAGTTCAGACTCTGCCCTCTACTAGCTGTGACCCTTGGCACACTCTTCTTTGCCTCTCTGAGCCTCAGTTTCCACATCAATAAAAACAAAATAACAATGCTACCCAGAGAAGTTGTCAGGTTTTGAGGAACCTGAGGCTTATATTATTGGGGCTGGGGAGAGGGGCAGGAAGGGGTGGGGAAAAAATACAACTTCAAAATTGCATATGGGATCTTGAAAAGAGTCCCATGTAAGGGAGGGACCCTGAGAAATCTATGTTGGGTCTACCAGTTAGCAGTGAGATATTTAAATAAAGCTCTTGGCACATAGTAAGCCCTCAATAAATGTTGGTTTGGAGAATGAGATGATGGGGGGAGAGTGGTACGGCTTGAGTAAAATGCTATAATTTTGTGGGTTCCTCTGCACTGAGCAGAGATAATGAAAGAGAAGGGAATCCCAGAGAAACTCCCAAGACCCTCTTTAGCTGCAGAGTTCTGTCCTGAAAGTTAGGTGTGATCTTGGGCAAATCACACCCTCTCCTGGGACCTGACTGCTAAAAAGCCACTGGGAGTTGTATAATCTCTACCTTTTTTTTCCTCATTCCAAAAAATGTCTGGAGCCTTTCCGTGGAGCCTCAGGAAAGCCATGAAGCAGTTGGGTGAGCCAAAGAATGTTCCTTTTCTCTCTGTTTTAAGAAGTGGGAGCTCCTAGCTGGAATATTTTAGCAGCAGACTCAGGAGCCTAGGAGAAGGGGAGACCCTACCCTGAGATGCAGAGAAAGGGATGCGAGGTATTTTCTTGGAGGCAGAAAAAGGCAATTGGCTAAAACCCTGACAATTAGGCTCTGGTCCCCATTCTGTAACTTTCTGGCATGTGACCTCAGCCAGATTCCTTTACTTCAAGAAGCCTCAGTTATTCAACTTATAGGATTAAATGGGGAAAAAATAGCTAAGGGTGTCTCTCCCTTGGTAAAGTTTTAATACCTAGTTAAGCGCAGGTTTTGGAAATCACTGTAGTGGTTGTTCCCATTACAGTTATGGGGTAACACCAACCAGCGATCCTGACCCTACTCCCTTTGCAATCCCTCCTTTCTCACGCCTCGGGGGCGTGGCTCCTCCTCCACCGGCTTCTTCGGGCGGGAGGAGGAGGCTCCGCTTTCTGGGAAGGTGGGCGGGGCCTCGCTCCAGCTCAGCAGAGCGCGCCAAGGCACAGCCACTGAGCTGGGTCTTGCACCTGCACCAGACACCTTCCCATTTGATTCCTTCCAACGTAAACCTCCTTGTCACCCCGAGCTCTTCCTTTCTGAAGCAGTCATGGCTGTGGCAAAGAATGTCAGGGACCTCCAGGGAACTGTTTCCCTCAATTTGGACCTTAGGTCATCTCCCCAAAGTACCAAGAACCTGCAGAACAAGGACTCCGGTTTCTTGGATGTAAACTCTTCAGAATCCACGGATTTGGACAAGACCAAGGGCATAACGTGAGTGCTGTTTTCTGTCAGCCACATTTCTGCTGTCCAGCCTGGAAGCTGGAACATTGGTTAAAAACCTGGAGGTGGGTGTGTCTGACCTTCAACCCATTGTGCAGATGGGAGAACCAAGACTGTTAGAGGCTTTGTCAGATGACAGCTTAAAGGGGAAGGAGTGGAGTCAGAAAAGCCCTTAGGGATATTCATGAGGAATGAAGGCCCAGGTAGCCCAGGCCACCCATGAAGTAAGTCATTAAGCCATTAGGATAGGGGCTGGTTTTACTGTCAATTTTTGGTTAATGAGGGAGGCGAGATCACTAACTTCTTGGAGGAGAGAAGGTGAAACCTGAGCTTAAAACCATAATGGCCCCACCGAGAACTAAGCATTGCTTCCTTCCTGTGGTAAGCCTGGCCTCTTCTTCCACTGGAATTGCAGCGAGGACATCAAACCCAACATGTGTGGCAGATGCTCCTTTCTTCCCTAGGGGTGAGGAGACAGGGGTGGGGGGCAATATTCACAGGCTTTCAGAACTTGACACAGAGGGAAGCCATGCTACGGAGTTCCAGCTCCCCCTTTTCACACCTGACCCCACAACAAATCAGTCTAGCCAGTTCACTTAGGGAAGTGCAGGGGTAGGTGGTGGAGAGCTCCTGCTGCTTTAAGAAAAAAGTCTGGACACCATTGGGGTCCTAGGGGGAGCAGTGGATGGACAGTCAGAGTTCATTCTAGGTTTTTTACATGCAAAGCTGGGGTGAACAGGTGTCAGTCTGAATTGAAGGACGATGTCCCTGGAAACTATGAATGAGGAGGATGGGGGTGTGCAACAGAGAGGAAGAAGTTACTATAATGGAGAGGAAAAGACTCTCTCCGCAGCTACCCTGCAGGGCAGTTCAGGAATGGACACTATGACTGGCGCTGGCATGGTTCAGTTATTTTAGAGCCAGTCCTGGGGGTTGCTTGGTATTAGTGATCCTAAGGATAAAATGTTCAGGCCCTGGGGTTACCACTACAGAGCAGGGATATTTCTCAATCAAGGGCCCTGGGGGAACCAACTGACTCTGTGTCCTGAACTCTGGTGGCAGTTTTAGTGACTTAAGAATCAAAGGACAGAGGAAGGGGACCAGGAAGAGGCAGGAAGGGAAGCATAGGGGAAATACAAGATAACAATATTGACCAAATTATATTGCTATATTGTGTGCGTGTTTGAATATGTAACACAAATCCCACTGCTATGCATAATTATAATATACCAATAAAAATATGGGGAAAAAAAGAATCAAAGGAATAAAGCAGGTGAGAGCCAGAGGGGACCTTTTGGCTCAGAGAGAAGCGATCTAACAGGCTGGGTAAGCGTGACACTTATGGGCTGGCCCCTTGGGTTTGAAGTCCCACTTTGTCGCTTCCCAGCTTGAGCAAGTGACAGAACTTCGCTGCCCCGTCTCTTGTCTGTGAAATGATAGTCTGTACCTGCCACACAGATGACATGAGCATAAAGCCCCCAAGTGCAGGGTCCTAAAGGCTTGCTAGTTTCTGTGACTATGATGGTGGTCCAAGGTCATCAAAGGAGTCAAGGCTAGAACCCAGGGCTAGAATTTGAGCTTCCAGTATAGGGCTTTGCACTGTTTGTAAGTTGGCCGAATGGCTGAAAGCTAAATTCTGATTTCCTAAGTCCTTTAGTTAGAAATTTCCTAAGTGACCTGTTGACCCTTTCCTGGTTGCAAAACAAGCCCATCACTGGGGGCCACAGGGAATAGTGCTCAGTCAGCGATGTGGACACCCACAGGGAGAGGGAAAGGCATGCTGAGACTCTCCACCCCCTTTCTCCTCCAATTGTTCTCATTAACCCTTGACAAATCAAGGGCAGATTCTTGGGAAGCTAAAGGATTTAGGAGTTTAACGTAGAGACAGGGGTGTTTGGGGAACTTCTTTCAAGATACCATTACTCCTAACATTTGCAGAAGCTTAGCAAAGTTGGACACGTTGCTCAAGATGATATAGCAGGTTAAGTGGTGGCCTTGAGTTTTAATCCCTGGTTTGTCCAATTCCAGAGACCAGGCTCCTTCCAGAATCCCTCTGCTGCTTTTCAGGGCTTCTCCTGGCTGGAAGGCTTTTCTGGGGGAATTTCCAAGGTTCCTAAGGTTATAGATATAACCCGGTACTCATCCTGATTTCACCAGGTCCAGTGTAAAGAGGTGTAGAAGTGGGTTTGTTACGTGATTCTTCAGGAGAGAGGGCACCTGCCTAGAATTTTTTTCCCTGCTGGTTCAGACCTTGTCCTCTGCACCGACCTTTAGATCTCTGTCTTAAAGAGTGGGAGTTTTTTGCTGTTTTGTTTTTGTTTTTAGGGGAGTTGGGGGCATGACATTTTTCAGCCTTAATGCCCTGGGCAGAGAGAGAGAATAAAAAAAACCCTCTGGAGATCAATCCCCAAGTGACCCAAGTCATTTGACATATTTATTGAGACATCACCATGATTTCTTTTTCCTTCCTGCCTTTTTCTCTTTTCTTGGAGTTCAGTCCTATCTTTACCACTATTTTATGGCCTCAGTTCCTCAGAGAGGAAATGGCTCTCAGGCTGTCACTTCTTTACCCTCTGTCTGGCCTTCTGTCTGGGAGGCCGCTCAGCCAAAGTGAGAGTAAAGAACAGGGACTCTGAGGTAGTCCTGGGTTTTAACACTAGCTCCTCAATATATCCTTGGACAAGACATTTTAAAAAAAAATCCCTGCCTCAGTTTCCCCTCCTGCCAACTAAAGGTAATAGCAGTACCTATTTTATAGTCTTGACAAGATGATTAAATGAGATAAATACAGATAAAGTACTTCTCCTAGTGTCTCATATAACATGTGTTGTAATGGCATTCAGTGAGCTGCTAAAACTGAGACAGTTCTGGGAAAACTGGGGTAGGAGACTCAGACATGCCAGGCAAGGATCCATGACCTGAGAGACAGCCGGGAGGCCACCAGCCCAGCTTAACTCAGGTGTCGGTTGGCATGCCATGAGGGAGTGACTGCTGGTTTCCTGCCCTCCATACCCATCCTCACGTCTCCTTCCTCTCCTTTAGAGGGTTCCAGACCTTGGTTCATGTGTTGAAAGGCAACATGGGCACAGGGATCCTGGGACTACCCCTGGCTGTGAAGAATGCTGGCATCCTGGTAAGAGAGAAAGCCACGGGTGGGACCATATGGCCAAGTTGTAGGATGGGAGGAGAGAGGCACTCACCATTAACAGCAGCCTCAGGTGAGCAGCCTCCTGGGAGGTGGCTTGGTGCAGACTTATCATCCAGATGTCTAGTTCAGGCCTGAGCTCTGGCACTGCCACAGACTTTAGTGTCCTTGGTAAGTCATTTGTCCACTCCCTGGGCCTCAGTTTCCTCCCTCATAGAACACAAAGGTTGAACTATGGACTGGTTTTTCAACTGTGCTCTGTGGAGCCTAGGTCTCCTTGGAGATGCCTCAGAGGCCATCAAGTGGACATGTGGTCATGATTCTGGTTTCCCTACTTCCTGCAATATCCCAGTGGAAAGGCTTTATGAACTTTATTGGGCGACCACTTGAGACGATATTTGAAAGAACAGCTGTTAATGCTAAAAAAGGCTTGCAAACCGGTTGGAAGTTCTTCGTGGTTCTTAAATTCCTCAATTGCTGCTTACAGTGTCCTTCATAAATTCTCTCTCTTGCTCTGCTCTTTGTTGCCCCTTCCTCCAGATGGGTCCGCTCAGTTTACTGGTGATGGGCTTCATTGCCTGCCACTGTATGCACATCTTGGTCAGGTGTGCCCGGCGCTTCTGTCACAGGTGAGAAAAACAGCATCCCAGAAACATCCTACACATAAGAAGTAAGAGTTTATTTCTTAACTTTTTTTTCCCAATGTGGCCAAAAAAAAAAAAAAGAGAGGAGCATTTAGGGGCAGGGACCTGAATGAGATTCTGCCATAGAGTCAGTTAGATGATCTCAGGCCATTGTATTTATGTGGTTGGCTCACCTGCAAACTGGATATAAACAATCCTTGCCTAACCTTGCCTTGGAGAATTGTCATGAGGATCCAGTGGGATACATGGGCATGGAAACTACCGTACCCACACAAAGTCTTTATTATTATGCTTGCTATATAGTAACAGCCTTATTTGACAGGAAAGGAAAACAAGCCACCACAGAATTACTGCCAGGTGTCAAAGCATGAATTAGAACTTAGATCCCCGCCCCAGTATTCTCTCTACCCTCTTGATGTGTTCTGTCTTGCTCCACATCTCCTGATGGGTGAGTATGTGATCTTAGGTTAAATCATCTCTCACAACCGTGCTTGTGTTCTCTCCTCAGGTTCAACAAGCCCTTTATGGACTATGGGGATACTGTGATGCATGGACTAGAAGCCAGCCCCAGCACCTGGCTCCAAACTCATGCCCACTGGGGAAGGTATCTTGCTTTTGCTTCGTCTTCTGTAATGTAGGATACAGGAGGAGAAGATGCTGCTCTTAGGGGTACCTTCTTCCCTGGAAAGGTGGTTCATGTGGGACAGAATGTCACAGGGAAAGAGTTCATTGATCAGATCCCAGATCTCACTCCTTGCATACCTCCAGCGATAGGGAACTCATTCCTTTTTTATGCAAGTCTAATATTATTCACTCTTATTAAGCTACATATTATCCTGTTGTTCCTACTTCTCGGACCCTGGAAAGAAATACCATGAGGAACAAGGCAAACAAGAAGGCTTTTCCCTGCAGAACTCAGAGTCCAGTGGAAAAGGCAGAGACTAGAGAGCCTATCTACTGGGATAAATATGATAATGGAAAGAAGTACTAGTTACCAGTTAGCAAATAAGGGGGTGTGTGTAGATCAGGTGGGGGGCTTCCTGGGCTGGAACAGTTGAGTGGAGTCCTGATGAAGGCAGTCCTGAAAGATAAGGAATTTCTCAGGGGAAGTAGGCAGAGGCCTGACAACCTTCCAGGAAGAAGGAAGAGCAGATGTGAAGACTCAGAAGCAGGAGGGTGTAGGCATCAGTTTTAAGGTCCAAAAAGACCAGGTAGCTTGAGGTGAGAGAATCAGGGAGGTCAAATAGAAGAAGGAGCAAGGTGCTCAATCAAGTTGCACATTTCAGACCCTTTTGCAGGTTTTGCTCTTTTTGTAAAGGCAAAGGGGCTGAACCAGGGAAGTGGTCATATTTGCACTGTTTGAAGTACCGTCTGGCTTCTGTGAGGAAGGCAGGTCGAAGGGAGCAAGAGTAGACAGACTCCCAAAGAGGCTGTTGATAAAGTCCCAACGAGTGGCAATGTGGCTGCACCAAGCTGGTGGCAATGGTGATGAAGAAAGTTGATCATGAATCGCCTCCTGGGATTGTGAGAGAAGGGAGACTTCTGATGACTTGTATTTTGGACAAGCTGGGTTTAAGGTGCCTGAGAGACAGGTAGAACTGTCCAATGGGTCTATACAGATCTGATCTGATCTTCACGCAGGAGAGACAAAATTAAAGTCATCAACCATGAAGCTGGGGACAGAAGAGGTCTCTTAGGGAGAGGATATAAAATGAAGAGAGAGAAAAAGACTAAGGCGCTAAGGATTCTTGTTGAGCTAACTCTTCTCTATAAGTCCACCTTTTAGCTCTCAGGAGTGACACACATGAGTCGACACCCTTTGTTCTCTGGTACTTGGGACTAAATCTATTCCTTCATCTTTGTTTGCAGACGTGTGCCTTCTCCTCTTCTCACCCTGTGAACTTTCCCACAGGGGTCTGCCTCCCTAAGGTCTTATCCGTTATCTACAACTGAACAGTTCCAGAACCTCAAGTGCAACAATTCAGAGACTGAATGTGTCATTAAAAGTTTCTTCCCTTTATCCTAAAACTTGTTCTGAGTTTCTGCATTCATCTTGCCATCCAAGTCAAAAGTCTGCAGAGCACCCTAATGTCATTTTCTCCCTCATCCCCAGAAGTTGGTGATCACAAAATTCTAGAAGCTCTGGCTTCCTGGTATCTTTTCAAATGCTCTAATTCTCTAATGCTGGTGGACATGTCTTTGTTCAGGCTGCTGCCTTCTTTCACCTCCACCTATGAAAGAATTTCCTACTCAGTCTCTCCACCCATAAAAAAAATCCTGCCCTTCAGGGTCCTTTGCGCAAGGAAGATAGGGAATCTGCCTGCTCCCTCTGCTGAAATGCCCTCTCCTCATTTCTTGTCTTCCTCCTGCTCTACCTCTCCCTCCTTATCTCCCTCTACTTCCGGTGGCTGTTCTCTTTCTTCTTTCCTTCTTTTCCTCCTCTCTCTTTTTTTCCACCTTCCCAAAGGACTCTTGCTCATATATTGTTTTTTTCCTAAGAAGGTTTTCTGGCTTCCCATAGTTTGGATAAAGTGTCCTTTTTGACATGGTCCTTAGTCTTGTATTATGATATTAACTTGTGTCCATAGCACCCTTTAGCCTGTGTACCACCCGAGGAAGGGACCCTATGTTGTTTTTCTGCACATCTTTGGTACCTTCCATTGAGTCTGGCCCATGGTAGGAAAAAAAATATGTTAAATGTTAATGGTAGCTAATAAAAAACATTGTGTTTACTGTTGTCCCACATCAATAATAACAGTGGGGTGAGGAATGTCGCAGAGCCTGACCAGGGTGGCAGGGTGGAGAGGCTCATAACCAGGAAGAATTTTACTGCTCCCTGTGCTGAGAGTGTGAGGGTATTAGAAAACCACTTTTCACAAAGAACTATTGTTACATCACTTTTTACTGCCTCGTTGTTGATTGTGGTAGAAGGACCAAGGGTGCTGTTATAGGACCACCAACCCCTGGGGACAGGGGACAGAATGGCAAGAAATGGAACTGCAAAGTTTTATGATAACAAGCCCCTGTCTCCTCTCCTCTCTTCTAGGCATATAGTGAGCTTCTTCCTTATTATCACCCAGCTGGGCTTCTGCTGCGTGTACATCGTGTTTTTGGCTGAGAATTTAAAACAGGTACAAACTTCTAGGGAAGGTGGAAGAGGAGAGATGTGGAAGAGGAGGCTTTTCTGCTAGTTGTTTAACAAATGTTCCTCCGAGTCCCAGTGTCTTATCAATACAACACAGGAAGTGAATCTAGGTATTATCCAAGAACCTGGCCTCCCCCCGGTTCACAAATCTGCAGATTTCTGTGTGATGACCTTTGCCACAATACCCTTTGCCCTATACCTTGGACCTGTCCTCAAGGTTAGTTTCTAAGATGCTGAGCTGGAAAAACCCTTGGAATTTGTCAATTCTTCTACCTTGGAGTTTAATCATACTGAACGCTTCTCAAGTTGATTTGGATCATGTCTGGTGGAATATCTGATCTTGCTTGGGATATCTTTATATACTGTTAGCTACTTGATCTATGGTTAATGGTTATTTTTCCCAAGAAGTCCTTCTGATCTAACCCAGATGTTATCTTGCAACAATTGGAGCAAAATAGAATAGGTAACAATAAGTTAATCAATGCACTTAAAAAAAAAAACTAAAACTGCTCTTTAGAGCTCTTTTTCTGTTTATTATAGTAACACCAGAAACTTAGAAATATGAAAAAGTTAGAAGGGAGAAAAAAACCCAGTAAGCATTTAGTTAGCTTTTATCAAGCATTAGATACATTGCTGGAATTTTTACACGATTTCCATCATTTATTTCTTTCCTTGACCTTATCAGAGTAAACACTATGATTGTTTCTCTGCCGTGTGCTCCAGTGATTGTCTTGCTATAGACCCAAGCAACGGGGCTAATTTACTATGGACTGGAACCTCCAAAACTGTGTAGCAAAATAAACCTTTCCATCACTATAATAAAAGTTAATTATCTCGCTTATTTCATTATAGTTATAGAACTGAGCATGGTGGCTCACTCCTGTAATCCCAGCTACTCAGGATGCTAAGGAAGGAGGATCTCATGTTCAAGGCCACCCTGAGCAACTTAGTGACACCCTGCTTTATAATAAAATAGAAAAGGCTGAGGATGTAGCTCAGTGGTAGAGTGCTTGCCTAACATGTACAAGGTCCTGGGTTCAATCCCCAGTACTGAAAAAAAAAAAAAATAAATATTACTTAGTCTAAGAGTTATTTTGAAATCTCCTAAAACACATTTCCAGATGGCTTTTCAGAAAGCAATATGATTTCTGCAGACCTTTATTATCTGCATTTATTAATCAGCTGCTTTATTAGGAAGGCAAGAAATGTCTCAAATTTACAGGCAAAGTGGGGTGTGTTCTAAAATATAAGACAAATGTCAGTATGATATTTTAGTGCCAGGTCAGCATACTACTAACAATATTCTGTGGTCAAGAAGCTTCATTGTGAGCTATATGCAGGGATCATAGGATTAGGGAAGGCTAGCTCCATGGGGGGTGCATCAGAGCTGAGCATTCAAGGGCAGCAGGGAGTACAAGTGGGGACAGCCAAGGTGGGAGAAGGGATGAGTAAAAACCTAGAGGCAGGATATATGGGGCTTGCTCAGAAGAAGCAGTAAAATTGTTTTTAAAAGAAAGTGTCAGTATGGGAGAGGAAGAGTCTTGAAGGTTGACCCATTAATAAAGGGCCTTGAATGCCAGGTTAATCTTCCAGGTGTTTTTCCTACTGTAGTGAGGAATCATTTTTTAAAAGCAAACAAACAAAATTTAATGATTCACATTTATGAATCCACAGTGTGTACTTCAGTGCAACGAGAATCTCCAAGTAAAAGAATTTATTGTGATTGACATCTTATAAAATAAAAAAGATGTGTATCACACAATTAACGTATGAGATTTCCTATAAAACATATAGAGGAATGTATTGCAAGGTGTTATCATGACTCTCCATGAGTACTGCACTTAATTTTTTTTCTTATTTAACTCTGATTTCCAAGGGTTCCACAGTGAATTCTACTGTTTACACAATTGTATTGTATCGTTTGCTTCACATAGGTCATGTTAATTCTAAACCTAATTCTAATCCCTGACTTTACTAGGAAGGTATATATACTACACACATATACTGTGGGGGATGTGGTTCTTGTTTGTTACAATGGTTGGAGGATAATAGTAGCTTTCATTAGGTGGGGTTCAGGGATGTTAAATGTTCTACAATCGATAGTTCATCCACACAAGGAAGAGTTCTCACATTCAAAATGCTAGTGTTGGCTGGGTGTGTTGGCCCACGCCTGTAATCCCAGTGATTCAGGAGGCTGAGTCAGAAGGATCACAATTTCAAGACCAGCCTCAGCAACTTAGTGAGACCCTATCTCAAAATAAAAAATTTAAAAAAGGGCTGAGGATATAGCTCAATGGTAGAGTACCCCTGGGTTCAGTCTCCAATATTAGTCCAATTGTAAGTATTGGTCCAATTAGGAGACAGTAAGTTTATGGGTTAGTTAAAAAAATAGTAAGTGATGAGTCTTTTTGGTTATAAGCCAAAAAGAGATTCTGGGGAAATTTAAGCAGAAATTAGTTTAGTGGAAGGATATTAGCTAATTTATGAAATGACAGAGAAGGTTAAAACACAGATCTAAGAAAAGAACAGAAATCAGAGCAGCTAGGAGAGAGTAGATAGCAGAACTAATAAGCAGTCTCCACAGGGATCCACTATCCGAGTTAATTTTTACCCATTCTGTTCTTAGGTAACTGGATTAAGATTTAGCTTTGGATTCCTGGGAGAGAATCTGAATGCCCCAGCTTGAGTCAAAGGCCAGTCCCCTAGCTCTACCATGCAACTGTGATTTATGGTCCTCAAAGGCTGCCTTCAACGGCAGGAGAGAACTCACCACAAATAAGTTGATAACAGGAGGAATGCGTGCTGGGTTGCCAAGAAGCCAAGAAATACCTCTATAAATCCAGTTATTTGTTAGTAAAAAATTTTTAAGTTACTTGTATAGCCTCCTTGAAGGAAGCATGATACAGAGAATTTAGAATTAGAAGCTTTAAATTCAACCCAACTCTCGGAGACACTCCAAATCTTTGTGAGGGAGTTTCATTGTGGTCAAAGCACTGAACTAATGGTGTGGTCCAAAGATTTATTTTCTCCTCTTTTCCCCATTCATTCTTTAGGTAGTGGAAGCTGTTAACAGCACAACCAACAACTGCTATAACAACGAGACAGTGATCCCGATGCCCACCATGGATTCGCGACTCTACATGCTTTCCTTCCTGCCTGTCCTGGTGCTGCTGGTCTTCATCAGGAACCTCCAGATCCTGACCATCTTCTCCATGTTGGCCAACATTAGCATGCTGGCCAGCTTGATTATCATTGCCCAGTACATTGCCCAGGTTAGTGTGTGCCAAGTGCCAATGCCTGTGATTTTAGGGCCTTTGTATCAATGATAGACTAAGCTCTGGAGATCTAGGACCTACCCCAGGGGTGGGGTAAGTGTGTTTCTCACTCTTCAACCTGGGACCCCCGCTTGTTGTAACATTTTTTCCACAACCATATCTCTGTGCTATCCCAAATCTTCTCATTCATGTTTCTCCAAACAACTGTTTTTATGTCAACTTCTGGTTTTTTTAAAAAAAATTATACTTACTTCGTAAGGAAAACATCTTGATTGCTAAACTACAGACCATTCCTATGATTGGGTAGCAAAAGGCAGATGAAAAACAGGTGCTTCTACCATAGTTTTATAGCCTCTGGGCTAAAATTCCAGGCACCTAAAATTACTCCCTAGGGAACACTGGAGAAAAAAAGTTTAATATTTAGTCACAGAGCTATAAAAGTGTCCAAAAAATAAGCAAATCTATTATGATGTTAATGACTGTCTTTGACACTTGTGGAATTATGAATATTGATTTTTCCCATCAATTTCCTTACTTCCTATCCTATTTGTTTTTTATAGTTGAAAACACTACATTGAAATTTAAGTCCCAGAAATCCTTTGTCAGACCCAGTAATTTTCAGATGGTTTTTCTGGGAAGCTGTAAGAGAAAATAAAAATGATATTGTCTATAGAATTTAGTAAAAATAATAAATTACTCAAATATTGTAGAATGACTACACATCAGTCTCATATTCCTTAGGAGTTACTGATAAAGTCTAAAAGATTAAATTTTCTAATGAGATAACTACTTCTGATTTACCTTTGGACAATTCCCATGATTGTCCAATTTCTTTTTTTTGTTGTTGTTTTTGGTGACAAGGATTAAACTCAGAGGTGCTTAACCACTGAACCACACTTCCAGTCCCTAAGATTATCCAATTACAAAAATTGTTCTGTTATTTCCATATTTTGAGTCACAGAATATATAAAATATTTACTCCAAATACTCTCCTACCCTGTAATTTATTGCTCATATTTAACTACTAGGTGGAGGTCCTGTGAATATTCTGTAACTATAGAAACAGTAATATCCAACACCTTTGACCACTGTCTATTCAAAGGTGTCCTTGAGAACTTCAGGTTGGCACTCATCTGTGATGTGTCAAATTTTCTCTGGGAGGTTTCTGATGAACCAAACTCCATGAGATACTTTGATAATCTTCAGGATTTGAATGACACCCCCATGTTTCTGTCCTCTGGCTCTCTTGTATTGTGCAATATTAAAATCAGTTTTGATCATGCCCTGATTCCTTTTGAAGTTTTCTAAACTTCCTGACATTCAATGTTTTAAAATTCAAGTCTCCTCTCAGAGTACCTCTCTCTCTTAAAATGCTCAGATGTGCCTTGAGCATAACCACCTCATTGCATTTCTCTCCTACAGGGAATTCCAGACCCCAGCCGGCTGCCACTGGTGGCAAGTTGGAAGACCTACCCTCTCTTCTTTGGAACAGCCATTTTTTCGTTTGAAAGCATCGGTGTGGTAAGGTTTGAATGGGGTGATCTTTCCCCAGCTCTGTGAGCTCTGGGTTTTGGTGCCCTGTTGACCATTGTGTGGGGCCTGATAGAAAATACACATGGGAGAGCATAACCTCTGGCCTCATCTGGGTGACTGTGACCAGCAGAAAAAAAATCAGATTACAACATTCAGGCAGTTAGGTGACAGTCTTATTTTTGTCTCAGTAAGTCTACTAAACATTTCTCTTCCTATCAACAGAAGTTTCCTAATCTTTCAAAAATCAAGACTAATAGTGGCCAACAATTTAAAGGATTTGATTAAATTTAAAGGAGCTTCCTGAAAAGAACTGTATATTTATAGTGACTTATTATATAGTCGCTACTTCCACATCTGAGGAAGGGTAGTGCTATTCACATATTTTTTAATTTACTTTTTCATTTGCATGCAGCAAAATTCACTCTTGAGAGGTACAAGATTCCAGCAAGTTTTCAAAAATGCACAGAGTCATAGATGTCTGACATCAGAACACAGAACAATTCTCTCGCACACAAAACTCCCTTCACTGTCCCTTTTTATCAACTCCCACCCCATGCCATTAACTCTGATACCACCTTCCATTCTTTGCCTCAATTATTTTACCTTTTGCAGAATGTCATATAAATGGGATCATGCAGTATATAACCTCTTGAGACTGGTTTCTTCCACCCAGCCTAATGTCCCATCCATGGTGACGCACATATCCATCCATACTCCTGGCTGTCAGTGCAGAGCAGCTACTGTGTGGGCAGTACCACCTTTGATCTACTTACCAGTTGAAGAGTGTTTCCATTGTTTCTAGTTTATGGCAATTGTGAATAATGCTCTGATAAGCTTTTGTGTGAATATAAGTTTTTATTTCTCCAGGAGTAGGTTTTCTAGGTCACATATTAATATATCTTTAACTTGAGAAGTTGCCCAACTGTTGCTAGAATGGCTGTTCCATTTTTCATTTCCAACACAGTAGAGGAGCTTTCTATGTTCTATATCTGTGCTAGCACTTGTATGTATTGTCAGTATTTTTCTTTTTTCAGGGCTGAGGATTGAACACAGGGCCTCGTGCACACACACACTACCACTATTCCCAGCCCTGCTATATTTTTTATTTCTGCCATTCTGATAGTTGTGTAGTGGTATCTGATTATGATTTAATTTGCATTTACTAATGACTAGTGATTCTGAGCATCATTTTATGTGTTTATTTGGCATCTGTATACCTTTTTTGGTGAAGTATCTGTTCAAATCTTTTGTAAAAAATTTTTATACTGAACTGTTGTTTACTTATTATTAAGAATTCTCCAGGCATTCCAAACACAAATCCTTAATTGATTATATAATTTTTAAATATAGTTTCTAGTCTGCAGCTTGTCCTTTCACTCTCTTTTATGGAACAAAAGTTTTTAATTTTGATAAAGTCAAATATATAAAAATTTTGCTTTTATGGATCTTGGGTGTTGTCTCTAAAAATATTTTTCCAAACCCAAGCTCACAGATATTTTCTTCTAAATGCTTTATAGTTTCCATTGTATAGTTAGATGTATGATCTGCTCTTGAGTTAATTTTCAAGTTGTTAATAGGTTGAACTTTATTTTTTAAAATAGGCTGCCCTTTGTTTCTGTATCATTTGTGGAAGAGACTCTGTCTTGAGTTGCTTTGCATTCTATATGAAGTTGATTGGTACAGGTGTATGGGTCAGTTTCTGAACTTCCTATACTGATTCACTGTTGTGTCTATAACAAGTTGTACTGATAACAGATGCTTCATTTTTAAACTAGTGGTATGAAAGCCTCAACTTTCTTTTGATTAGTGTGCATGTGCTATATATTTTTTCCATCCTTTTAATTTTTTTATTGAGATAACTTACATAACATAAATTTCATCATTTTAATGCAGTCTGATAGCTTTCAAAATATTATACAATCATAACCACTAATTCCAGAACATTTTAATCACCTGAAAAAAAAAAAAGAGACCCATTATGCACTCACTCTCTCCATTCTTCCGATGCAAGCCAGCTTTCTATCCCTGTGCCTTTGCTCGGTTCAGATATTTCATGTAAATAGAATCATAGAGTATGCTTCCTTTTGTGTGTAGGTTCCCTGTCGCATTCCACGACTAAAACACTCAGGGTCACTCCAGGTGAACTTGCCTGCACAAAATAATCACACAAAAGACAGATATACCTTTTTCTTTGGGTTCTGTGATGGCTCCTCTGACCCCAGAGAGCATACTTACTGAACCCTTTTATTGGGGAGAAGCCATTCAAATGAGGCAAGGAATCAGGTTTCAGGGGGTTGAGTCTAGCTTCATGATGTCTGCTTTCAGCAGGTTGACTGACATCTAGGAAGACCACACCCAAAAGCAGAGCAAGAGAAGGGGACACACAAAGGGAGCTTCCATGGAACATTCTATCCCAAACAGGGCAAAAGGAGTAGGATTACAAAGGAATAGATGAGTGTAGCTCAACCCCAGAAGTATGCCTGCTCAGAAGACTGGCCTTGCTATTCAAGCAGGGGAAAAGACCGAATCCAGACTACAGTGATCTTTCAGATCCCAATGGTGCATCAGGACTGGAAGGCAGTGTACCTCAATGTGGCTCCCCACAGTTTCCCACTTAGCAATGTTTTCAAGGTTCATACATGTTAGTATTGGTGTCAGCAATTAAGACTTTATATAGGTTAATAATTTTCCATTGTATGCATCTAAAGCATTTTGTTTATCCATTTGTTTTGATGGACTTTGAGGTTTCTTCCATTTTCTAACTATTGTAAGCAATAGTCCTAGGAGAATTCTTGCATATATTTTTGTCTGAGCAACTGTTTTCAGTTCTTTTGTGTATACACCCAGAGTGAGAAAGCTGGGTCATATGGCAATTCTGTTCAACATTTTAAGGAGCCATTTTCCACAGTGGCTGCACCATTTACTTGGATTCCACCAACAAACATTAAGTGTTCCAGTTTCCCCATATCTTTGCTAACACTTCTTATTTTTTTTTTGTTGTATTGATTTAATTTGGAGTTTTTTGTTTGTTTAATTTTTTTTGGTACATTCTAGAAGGTACAAAGCAGTAGCTCATTGTGGTTTTGCTTTGCATTTCCCTAATGACTAATGACATTGAATATCTTTTCATGTGCTTCCTAGCTATTTCTTTATATTCTTTGAAGAAATGGCTATTCAGGTCCTTTGCCCATTTTTAGTTGTGTTATCTTGTTAAATTTAAATTCATTTTTGACATATAAGGAAAACAAATTTGTACCTATTTATGGAGTTCCATATGATGTTTTGAATTGTCTTTTTGCCACTGAGTTTTTAAGAGTTCTTTAATATATTCTGAATTGTAGATCCTTATCATATAAATGGTTGGCAAATATATTTTTTTTATTCTGTGGATTATCTTTTCACTTTTGAAAATAGTATCTTTAACACAAAAAAGTTTTTAATTTTGATGAAGTCTGATTTACCTTTTTTTTTCTTGCTTTTGATTTTGGTGTCATA